TCGGTTGGCCACCAGAACTCAAGCGCCGGCCATGATGATGGTGTGGGCCGCCATAACAGCCGATGGTTGCTCTCCGTTCGTATTAATCGACCGTGGCATCAGAATAAATGCCGAAAATTAACGCGAAAATATTCTGTCGTGGGCACGCAAACATTTTGGCCGCAGACCTTGGATATTCCAACAGGACTCAGCACCATCGAACTCAGCACGCGCCACCCAAGAATAGTTACAAAATGAGGTTCCTCGCTTTATTTCCTGCGCACAATGGCTACCAAAATCTCCGGATACCAATCCGTTTGACTATTGTGTCTGGAGTATTTTGAAAAGCAAGGTTGGTACTGAAAAATACCAAAGTGTCGATCACCTCAAGCAGACGCTTCACTGGGAATGGTCCAAAATGCCGCAGAGCAACATTCGGGCAGCGTGTGACGGTTTCATTGGCCGTTTGAAGGCCATAATTCGTGGTGATGAATTATAGCAGATGAATTATAGTAGAATTTTGCATAAACTCACATGAAGTACGGTTTGAAACAATTCGTGACGTTCAACTAAAATTTAGACTTCTGAAGTATTCTGGGACCTGAAGTAGTATTTTATGACAAATAATTTTGTAGATACTTTGTATTTTTTTTTTTTTTTTGTAGATATTTTGTATTTTTTTTTTTTTTTTTTTGGTCTGCTACGATCCCGTTTGAATTGATTTTAGTCAAATTTTTGAAAAAAAAGCCTAAGAGACCTTTTAGTGACTCGCTTGATAATCAAATCTTAATCTAAATGTTTGGAAAATCTATGAAAGAGGGGGGACCTCGCCTTCTCTATTTAGGTTATTTTGCGATGGAAATATTCAAAACGCCGATACACAGCTAAAATGTGGCTCATCTAAATAACGGCTTTAGACCCTAGGTCTCTTTGGACATTTGGAATTGTTTTAGCAGGGTCCGTCCGTCTGTCAGGCCGAATGGTGGGTAAAATAATTCTCGCAGATATCATTAGATTTTATTTAGATTATTAGATTTGGAACACCATAATATCGTTATCAAACTCAAATCGAGTTCATATGGACAATATCGGTCCACTCCTTCTGGTATCTCACCGACAAAAGGTCAGGATTTTCATAAGATATATTTTACCTCTTTGATAAAGAATCATCTGATTTGTTTGAAATTTTGCAAATCCTAATATTTGTATAGGTATTGTGTAAAAAACTGACAATATAGGCCCAATCCTTCAGCACCTCCCTTTAAATCAATATTTCTACCAGCCCTAGATCAGGTTTGAAAATAACTTAGAAGGAAACACTCATATTGGTACCTATCCTAAAAATTTGAATAAACATACGGCTCATAAAATTCGTAATTAGCATCTCATTATTTACAAACTTCGTAAATCCCATTGTACCCGATCTGGTGTGGAGATGAGTATAGAGTGCCCAAGCTTCAAGTAACTTTCTTTATAAAGGGTCAACATGAAAAAATACATAAATGGCCAAAGGCTAATTGTACTTATTTGTTGGAAAACAGGCATACTTATTTGTTACTTTAAAATTTACGGGGAGTGCCTAAAAGTATGCAATAAAATACCTAAGCTAAATGTGAAAAAGCCAAATGATGTAGATACCGATTCAATAACTTTAGACGTTATTATATAAAGCTACCGAATCTAGGTGCACAAATATGCTCTCGGTTCACTTACATGGTCCTGGGTCTGTGTACCCACACTATGAAGATGTACCGCCTTGGAATTGAACCATTCCGCTGGTGGAAACTGGGCAGAGTAGGTTTCAAGTTGACGTGACTTATTTCGGCCGCTGCGGCGAAATAGACGTGATAACAAAGATCCTTTTTCTGAAAAGCAGAAAAAGACAATTAAATTCATTCTTTAAAAAATCCCCTCTCCCCCCTCCAACTCACTTGGTGATGAGGAATCTGTGCTTTGGTACTCCGAACTACTGCTATCCGTGTTTAGGGTCTGAGCATAGGTTTTCGATAGGCTACGCGTTGAGGCACATCGCTGTAAACGTTTCGATGAACCAAACAGTCGTAAGCTATGCCTTCGTTCCAGACTACGGGGTGTGGGAAATGAGGAGCTGCGTCGTTTTGAGGTTCGTGGATATAGGATTTTATCACTTGGGTTGCCTGAAAGGAGGAAAACAATAAATTTAGTTAATTGTTTCTTTAATCATTTCTCTCTGCAGGGGGAAAACCTACCACCACATATAACATCGGCCAAATTCGTTTGAATACACTGATGTGTCAAATCTCCATCACGTTCGGTGGAAATTTCGCCATACAACGAATGTAGGGCCTCCTCGTTGGTCATTAACAAGGTGCGCGGCTCTGAGGGTACACTTTCGGCCGATTCATTTAAATCTTCATAGCCGTTGTGATGACTGCGCGGCCGTGAACGGGAACGTCGTCTTCTGTGAATATAGAAAAAAAATTATTTTAATAAAAATATCAAATAAATTTTTAAATTTCTGGGGTTCAATTCCTGTTCTATGAAAATATGAAACTCAAACTTTGATAAAAAAATTACAAGTTTTTTTCTTCACTATTTTCACAGAACAAGAATTTGCGCCCCCGCTGAACTTACTCTGGCGTCAGTATAAAGTAACCCTTTGCCGTCTGATAGATTTTCTGATCCTGCATCAGCTGGGCCAGTGAATCGTAAATCACCTCCACGGAGGGTGCCGTCATGTGTGGGAATCGTACTTGTATCTTTGTGCGTATATTTTCTATGGTTGCTGAATGGCCTTCGGCCGTTAAGTCCATAATAACATCACATAGAGCTTCGGGTAGCGGGGTAAATTGACCCTGCATAATGGGCGTTACAATGCAGTCCTCAATATCACCTAAAAAGAAAGTAAAAAAGGGATTTTTGTCAGTATAATTTTTGAGTGATTCTAAGCATAACAGGATTTTACGAAGACTTTTTAGTTGGAAGACCAAAGGGATCCTATATATAAAGGGTGATTTTTAAGAGGTATAGCAAAGTATTTTTATAGAAAAAACCATAAAATTCGGAAAAAGGCAAGACATTTCTATTTAAATTGTTACTACAGTCCATATGACTTAAGAATACTTGAAATCGGTAAAAATTTTGACCCTTTGTTGGGGAGGTGCCAGAAGGAGTGGAGCGATATATCCCATTTTCACACCAGACCTTGGGTTATTAAAAATATTCTGATGTGTGATTATTTCGCATTTTATGATCGTTTTTGTTATTCAAAATTTTGACCCTTTGTGGGGGAGGTACCAAAAGGAATGTTCCGATCTTTACCATCTTTACAACAGATCTTGTGTTGATGGAAATATTGAGATGGACCAAGTCTGAATGGAATCAGATGATGATTTCGCGTTTTTTGAGCTTCATGGATTTTCAACATTTTGACCTTTGTGGGGGAGGTACCAGAAGGTGTGGACCGATACATCGCATCTTCCCACCAGACCTTGAGTTATCAAAAATATTGTGATGTGTGTAATTTGAGGAAAACCGGATGTTTATTTTGGATTTTAATAGAGTTTTGGTTATTCAAAACTATGACCCTTTGTGGGGGAGGTACCTGAAGGAATGGTCCGATCTCTACCATCTTTATAACAAATCTCGTGTTTATAAAAATATTGGGATATGCCAAGTCTGAACGGAATCGGATGATGATTTCGCGCTTTAAAGGCGTCGTGGATTATCAAAATTTTGACCCTTTGTGGGGGAGCTACCAAAAGGAGTGGGCCGATATATTCCATCTTCACGGCAGATCTTGTGTTAGTAGAAATAATGGGCTGTGTGAAATTTGAAAACATCCGGATGCTTATTTCAGATTTTGTGATGGATTTTGTTATTCAAAATTTTGACCCTTTGTGGGGGAGGTACCTAAAGGAATGGTCCGATCTCTATTATCTTTATAACAAATCTCGTGTTTATAGAAATATTGAAATGTACCAAGTCTGAATGGAATCGGATGATGATTTCTCGTTTTATGAGCTTCATGGATTCTCCAAATTTTGACCCTTGTGGGGAGGTACCAGAAGGAGTGGATCGATATATAAAATTTTCACAGCAGATTTTGTGTTAGTAGAAATAATGGGATGTGTGAATTATGAAGACAATCGAGCGCTTATTTCGGATTTTAAAATCATTTTAGTTATTCAAAATTTTGACCCTTTGTGGGGGAGGTACCAGAAGAAATGGTCCGTTCTCTACCATCTTTATAACAAATCTTGTGTTGATGGAAATATTGAGATTTGCCATATCTAAATGGAATCGCATGTTCATTTTTCGTTTTATGAGCTTCATGGATATTGAAAAATGTTGACCCTTTGTGGGGGAGGTACTTGATGGAGATTATCGATATTGCCCATTATTGGCACTTGACTTAGTTACGATTTGCAAAGTTGGAGCAAAATCCGATCATCTTTCTGTGCAGAAAAATATCTTTTTTTTTTGAAAATTTCCACCTTTTTTTGGGGAGGTACCAGAAGAAGTGGACCGATGCTGCCTATATCCGTACTTGATCTAAGTTTGATAATAATATTACGATGTACCTAGTTTGGACCAAATCGGATACTCCCTTCGAGAGTTAGTTAGAACGACGGACATCACTAGATCAGCTCCAAATATTCGTAAACGGAATTGGCCCTTTTAGAATAGGGTCTAAAACCGTTATATCGACTAGGCTCGTTTTTTCCGTATCAAATGATACGTACCCTCTGTAGCCATATGGTTGAGGGTATAAAAAAAATTTTAACCTGCCTATTAAAGAAGGTGCAAAAAGACCTCTTCGGTGACTTGCTTGAGGGTTAAATGTTTTACACAAATAATCCTCGTATTGTTGTCTGTAATACTGCCTCAAACACAATATTCCTAAAATGCACGAATTAAGGAATTTCGTCTGGAAATTTCGAAAAAAAAACCGAAACGGAAGTGGGGGGATTTAAGCTTTTAGAACGCATAATCCGCAGGAATTTCGCTGTAGTTATTGAAAGTATTGAATCTAGTTAATGTTAAATTTCTCGCTCGTAGTTTAAGAAACAATTTATTTAAAAAAAATATATATTTCAAATAATTTTCAATATTTAACATTTTTTCCCCTCCCCTAAATTTCAAAACTCCAACCTCCTTGGTTTATATGTTGACGGATTAATGGGCGTTCTGGCAGGTGTTGGTTGTACTGTCGGCTGATTTCGTGGACATTGTGTGGGCGGTGGTGGTGAAGGAGCAGTAGCTTTAGCAACTGGACAACGTGTGGGACTTTTTGCAGAACGTTCCGGTCCACTTACAAGAGAAGAGGGCATATTAAAAGTTGCATTTCCCAGGCCACCCTTAAGCACAGAGGATATATCAAAGGTTTTATTTCCAATGCCACCCCTAACCGCAGACGACATATCAAAGGTCGTGTTACCAGCTTTACTTCCCGTTGGCAGGGTATAACTGCGCGATGAGGCCCTTATCACCCCCGAATTTTCATTGTAATTTTCTATGGAAACACTATTGGCTGATTCCTCGGTACCCTGGGGACTGTAGGTCATGGAATAGTCGGTGAAATTACGTATCGAAGGTCCGGTGGCATTAGAGGTCTTATTCATGGTTGAATTTATTGCCACACCACCTGTGGCAAAGGAATTGGCATTCATGGAAGAGGACTTGTCCCTTGAAGTGTCCATAAATGCCATTGATTGGGGTGACCATTGTTGGGCAGAAGATTGCCTCGAAGATTCATTGAAGGCTGCAGGTGGAGGTAATTTGAAGGATTCATTATTGGGTTCCGGACCTTGACGGGCATTAAAGGTGCTATTCATGGGACATTGCCGTGTTGTAAAGGTGGCATTGGTGGGATATTGTGCTGTCTGATTGGGCGCCACTTGATATGTGGCATTTGCAGTTTTTCTGGCCGGCAGCGAATAGGTCTCATTGTTGGCTAGCTGTCGGGGACATCTTGGTGTTGAGGCCAAATTGGGATTGATTTGAAACGAATCCTCAAAGGTACTTTCAAAGGTGGGCTCCTCATCACTGAGGGTATAGGTCAGATCTTCACGAAATGGACAAGAGTTACTGGCATTATATGTTCCATAGGTTCTGGAAGCCATTGTACTCTCATCATAATCCTGGGAATCGTCATAATAGCTGGCTTCACCATACATCTCCTCAATTTGATTGGCTGCCTCTGCCAGAATATCATATATGTTACGTCCAGCACCACCTTTCAGACGTTTGTTGGCATGATTCTCGATCAGCTGCTCTTTCATCTGGGTCATGTACTGCCAACGCTCTGAGATGTTTTGGCGATCCTCATCATTGCTTTCATGGTTCCTATTGAGAATATCTTCCATCCTTTTATTTAGATCATCCTTTGGCAAGAGGAATAGTTGTGATGGCGCTATTTCCAATTTTCGTGACCAATAGATGATTTCTTTTTTGGTCACATCCGAAAAGTCATCATCATTTAAGGGATTCGTGACTGGAGATTTTGGGGTTGTCTGGGCAGACATGTTTGAATCAAAACTTTAATTTTTAACACAAAAATTTGTTGAGAACTTTTAACAATTTTTACTGATTTGAGAAAAACAAAAGTTTAAATTTTCAAAATTTTTGACAATTTGTCGAAATTTTTTAAGGGTTACCACTTTAACCAAAGTATATAAAATTTGTGGGAGGAAAATGTTTTTTTTTTTGTTTTTTTTTTTTTTTTTTTGAATGTAATTACAAACAAATATATAAAAATTTCAAAAATGTTGACAAATATTTGTCTAAATTTTTAGGGTTGCCACTTCACCCAAACTTAAATTTCCAAACAAAATGTATTTTCTCACAACACCAATTTTTCTATATGTGATTTTGTAATAAAAAAAAATAGAAAAAAAAAACTTTTAATATTTTTATCAAACATTTGACCTTTTTCATTTAGGGTTGCCACTTTAGCCAAAAAAAAAAAATTTCCAAAAAAAAAAAAAAAAAAATTCTTTCAAAAAATCCTATACTAATTTTAAAAATGTTTAAAAAAGTTTTGAGAAAAAAATTTCCAATGTTCTAGGGTTGCCACCTTTCCCAAATTAAACTTTTCAAATAATAAAATGTTTTTCTATTTTTTAATAAAATATTTAACATTTCCAAAATTTGCCACTTTACTCAAAATTAAATAAAATTTCAAAATTGAGGAGAAAATATTGGCTCCATTTTAGGGTTGCCACTTTACCAATTAATAAGTTCCGTAAATAATACAAAATTTTCTGGTAACAGAAGGCTTGTCTATACATAATATCACAAAAAAAAAAAAAAAAAAAACAAAAAAAAAAAAAAACAAACAGCCGAGCTTGGCTGTGGGATTTGAACCGCGGACCTCGGTGTGCAGCCAACTAGAAGTTGCCGTCTCTACGATCAGAGCAATTAACCCGTCTTCCTAAAGCAGCACTAAAACAAGTGTATGCATTGGAAGCAATGTAGTTGTTGTGGACAAAAAATTCATCACTACAAAAACAAAAAACTTTGCTGTGAAAAAGATCTGCCAATAGAACTTGAGTCGAACCTGGAGAGTTTCTAGTGTATAATTCGCATATGCTAATTGCAATAAGTTCGAAATATATCCTACTTTCCAGAGAACGGCCCTTGTAAGCCATCATCCACACCAAATATGCCTGATGAGCCGCTTAACCAACGGCGAAACGCGTCGCATAGTGGTGAGTGTGTGATAGTGTCTATCTGGCTTTCCTTTTCACTGCAAATTCCTGATCATTAAGCTCGTCTCGAAAGAGAAAACAAACACAAAAAAAATTTACATTTTTCATGATTGCCAATTTGCAAAAATCAAATTACCAAATAATAATTTTTTTCCTATTTAAAAAAAAATATTTTCATAACTGTTTATAAAAGTTCGACTATATTCTATTAGGATTGCCATTTAACCTGTTTAAAAAAATATACATTTTGATAATTTTTTAAAAATTAAAGGGTTGCCACTTTATCTAATATTCGATTCCCCAAATGTTTGAATACCCTTCACCATTTGGAACGAATTTCGAAATTTTCAAAAAATAAAATCCTTAAAAAATTCTGTTAAAAATTTTAAGAATACCAAATATAGTCGTTATATTGGGGTCTTGATCAAAATATCGTATATAGGGAGGAGGCTGTGATAAGATCTGGACCTGCATAGACAATTTTCTGTCACAGACTGTAGCATCCATTACGAACTTCAAATACGACATCTAAAACAATTTCGGTGGGTATTGTACCTAAAATCGTCAAAATACCGAATATAGGGAGGTACTGATATTTGGGGCCTATACGAAGACCTGGACCTGCATAGACAATTTTCTGTTACAGACTATAGTTCCCATAACGAACTCTAAATACCAAATTTGAAATTGTGAATAATGTCGCTAAAATTATCAAAATACCGCATATCGGGAGTACCGTTATATGGGGGTCATACGAAGGCGTGGACATGCACGTACAATTTTCTGACATAGGCTGTATTATTCATTACGAACTTTAAATGCGAAATTTGAAATAGTTCCGGTAAATAATGTCGCTAAAATCATCAAAATACCGCATATCGGGAGGTACCGTTATATGGAGGCTATACGAAAACGTGTACCTACATGACCCATTTTCTGTCATAAGCCATAGTATCTATTACGAACTTCAAATACGAAATTTGAAAAAATTCCAGTAAATAATGTCGCTAAAATCATCAAAATGCCGAATATCGGTGGTTCTGCTATATGGAGGTTATACAAAGTCGTGGACCTGCACAGACAATTTTCTGTCTTAAGCCGTAGCTTCTATTGCGAACTTTATATACCAAATTTGAAACAATCCCGGTTAATAATGTCGCTAAAATCATCAAAATACCGAATATCGGGAGGTATCGTTATATGGAGGATATACGAAGACATGGACCTACATGGACCAAAAGTCCTGCAGACATAGTACACATTTGAGTAAAATTATATCAACCTACTTCATTTCGTTCGGAAGCTAGAGTGATTTCTACAGACGGATAGACGGACGGATATTGCTAAATCGACATAGAATGTTATGTTGATCAAGAATATATATACTTTGTGAGGTCTAAAATGTATATTTCGAGGTGTTACAAACGGAATGACAAACTTAATATACCCTCCATACTATGGTGGAGGGTATACAAAATATTTAAAAGTTTGTCTGCATTTTTTAGGGTTACCGCTTCACCCAAATTTAATTTTTTTAAAATAACATCAATATTCTGACAGCAATATTTTTTTCCATACGTTATTTCAAACAAAAAAATATTTAATAATTTCCAAATTGTTGACAAAAAATGTGAATACTTTTTAAGGGTTGCCATACTACCCAAAATTAATTTTTACAAAAAAAAAAAAAAAAACAATTTTGTTGGCAAAAAAAAAAAAAACATTTCTATATGTAATTCCAAAAAAATATTTCAAAACAATTAAATTTTTAAGGGTTGCCATTTTGTTCAAAATTTAATTTCTCAGATAATATAAATTTTCTGACAACAAACATTTTTTCTATATGCAATTTCAAAAAATATTACAAAATATCAAAACTGTCCACAACAATTTTTAGGGTTGCCACAAAATTTAAATCACAGAAAAATTTCTTGGCAACTTTCTTCAACTTACCCACAGAACTGATGATATACGTTGCCGGCGGCTTGAGGACACTTCGTGCATATGCCCCTCGGACCACTTCCAGGGCACAGGGCTCGCCGCATACCAACAGCATACCCGGCGCCACATGACCAGCATAGCGCAAAGCCCGAGTAGCAGCTGTTAATGGTGCGTTCCACCAGCATTGAGCATTGGCCGATAAGAAATTCTGTAAAATAAATAAAAGAAAACATAAAAAAACGGGAAATCAGCAAAAGCATTCAAACACAGACAATTGTCATTTATTGTTAACGGTGCAAAAATAATAAATAAAAATAAAAAGTAAGAAAATTTAAAAAACTAGGTCTTCCGCACAACTGTTTGTTCAGTCGTTCCTTCCTCTTGCTTTCGTCATTACGCAAAATTACAGCGATAAGAAATTGGCACGTCGTTCACGTACCACCCCTCGACTAATGAATGAAATGGGGAAAAAATGGGTCATATCCAAAAAGAAAACAAAATATTTACATTGATAAAACAATGGCCGTAAATGTGTTGGAGGTAACTTTACGCAATGTTCTGAAAAAATAGTTTGATTTTTATTTTTGCAGAATAATTTACGCATGGGTTTATTTATGTAATACCAAACGCATTTTTATACGCACAAATGTTACATAGAAATGGAAGAATTACTATCTTTAATATGTGCGTTCGGTATGAAAAAAAAGTTCAAATCAGTTTTTTTCAAGAAAAACATTCAAATCAAATTTTTCAGGAAAAAAACTTAAATTCAACGGCAAAATTGTAGATTCTAAATATGAACAAGAATTCCAGGTTCTAAAACAGAACAATTTCTATAATCGGCGTTAGTTTAATAGGGTGTACAATTTTTAACGAAGCTGCTGGGCTTACTGTATGTCCTGGACTATAATAAATACTTATACCATAGCCTACATAAATAAGGTAGGACAAGAAGAGTTTTTCTGACAACAATTTGAAAATAAACTTAGACGTTTTCGTGATGGAATTCGAGCGCGATAGTGTGATTTCTTAATATTTGGCTGGAAAACCACAAGTGGCTATCGTTAGAGCACTCCAGCATTTAAATGTGAATAAATCTTTTGTGTCTCGTACTATCGCTCGTTACCGTGATACTGGTAGCGGGTAACGTATCCCGACGTCAAGGAAGTGGACGGAAGAAAACAGCAACATCAGCAGAAATAGTCCGAAAAGTAAAGAAGCGAATTGATCGATACCCACGTTGCAGTGGCCGAAAATGGCTCGTGAGCTGAACATATCGCAATATTCCATTCGGCAAATATTGAAAAATGAGCTCGGGGTAAAGTCATTGAAATTCCAAAAAGTGTAAGAATTTACACCGCAACAGAAAGTAAATAGACTCAAAGAGCTAAGCAACTGCTTCGAATTTCTCCGATGAGAAAAAATTCATTGTCCAGCAGTTTGTAAACAAATAAAATTATCGTGTTTACTTGCCATAGAGGTCAGCTGAAAATGTGCACCTTTGGTTGGCCACCAGAACTCAAGCGCCGGCCATGGTATTAATGTGGGCCCCCATAACAGCCGATGGTCGCTTTCCGCTCGTATTAATCGACCGTGGCATCAGAATAAATGCCGAATATTATTGCGAAAATATTATGGAGGGCGAATAAAAGCCTTGGACACGCAAACATTTTGGCCGCAGACCTTGGACATTCTAACAGGGCTCAGCGCCATCCAAGAATGGTTACAAAATGAGGTTATTTCCTTAATTTCCAGCGTACAATGACCACCAAAATCTCCGGATACCAATCCATTAGACTATTGTGTACGAAGTATTTTGGAAAGCAAGGCTGGCACCAAAAAATACCAAAGTGTCGATCACCTCAAGCAAGCGCTTCGCCGGAATGGGCCAAAATACCGCAGAGCAACATTCGGGCAGCGTGTGACGGTTTCATTGGCCGTTTGAAGGCCATAATTCGTGCCAAAGGTGACCAATTCG